GATAACAGTTGTATGAGCCCCTAATAAAATGTTTTAAAAAAAAAGAATGATGAGGGCAATGAATGTACAAATGCGCTTTACACAATTGCTGTATGTATGGATTGTGATGAGTTGTATGAGCCCCTAATAAAGTGATTTAAAAATAAAAAGCTCCCAATAAAATGATATATATATATATTGATATATATCAATATGTAAAATTACTGTTTAGGCCTATACAGTGGTTTTCCATATCTAAACCACCCCACCACCCCAAATTCTGCCATTATACCAGGTCAAAATGGTAATTTTGGCATGTTGCTGTGATACTGGAAGCGATGCCATTAGTATTTAAAATACTAGCAGGGTTGCACATAGTGGACAGATTTCAGCAGAACTTCCAGACTAAGAGCAGATTTGCTATATGGAATAAGCTGTCCACATGTGAGGAATTGGCTGCAGAATGTCTAAAGAATAGCAGTGAAATAGCAGTATATATTGTCAGATAAACTGCTGTGACACAGGTTGGAAAGCACTCAAAATATAACTGGGAAAAGTAGGCTCCTCAAAGTAGAGTTGACATGAATGGAGTAAAGTTTTCAGGACCTTCATTTGATGATACGGCACAATGCAAAGTGAGGAGAAACAGCTGCAAATATCTGTTAATAATCACAGCATGGAATGTGTGAAGGATGACCCTAAGAAAATTGATAATCATTGAAAGTGGAAAAATAAAATTGAACGCATCAGATTGTTATCTTAGGCATTAATGAGCTGAATGAACTGATACTGGTTATTTGGAGGCAGACATTCATGAGCTTTCCTATGCCAAGAATGACAGATTCAGGGAGAATGACAACACGTTGGTCATCAAAAAGGGTAGTTCAAGCTTTATCTTGAAGTGCGGTGCTCTGAGAGGATTATCTATGTGTCTGCAAGGGAGACCAGTTAATCCACTAGTATCCAAATTTACAAACAAGCCACTAAAGCTAATGATGAACAAGTGAAAAGATTCTACCAACTTCTTGAGTCTGAAACTTGCAAACTTACAAGTTTCAAACTTGCAAACCAGAAGCATTGATAACTATTGGTGACATGAATAAGAAAGTTGGAAACAGATCAGTAGTTGGAAAAATGCCAACCAAGAATCTTTTATCATTTTTTTCCCCAAGAATCTTTTATACAGCAAAATTGTCCCTTAAAGAAGAGGGATAAATTAGGGCATTTTGAGATACGGAGAAATTAAAAGAATTTGTAAAGACATTCTAAAGAGTGTTCATTGGACAAAGAATCAACAACAGCAGACAATAATCTAAGATCAACATATTAGACACCACCTTCAGAAATCAAACCACTAATCAAAGCATACTTATAAGACTGAAAATAGTGAGTCAGGGTTATTATTCCACCTTGAAGACAATTGCAATAAAGTGGAATAGTGTAGAAACAAAATATTTGCAAAGAAAGGAAAATTTTAAAACCATGAGATAACAGATTTCTTAAACTTGGGAAGCAAATTAAAAACAAGATGACCTCAAAGAAAATGAAAATACCTCATCAA